GCAAAGCTTTGGCAGACTTGGCTCTAGAGACTGGTGCTTATTTCTTTTCATAGTTTTTGTTCGTGGACGAGCTTGTAGAGCTCCAAAGGTCTTGTTAAGTCCAAAAAGGTGAATGGTCTGCTCTTGAACAATCTAATCCTGACAGGTTGCCATCCAAGTTCCCAACACCGACAAACAGAGGGAGCCAAGAATTAATACCTACCACTCTTAGCACAAAGCAATGATATCTTGACAGTTTGCCCATGAAATAAATGTTTGATAGGGAGAATCTACCAGCTACAAACCAACGGGCAGTCCAGTCTAACGTAATCTTAACCCCACACTACCTTGCGAAGGAAGAAAAGTATTCTTAGCGGAAAACGTGGTGACAGATTAGTTGCTGAACTCAAGCAAAGAAATCCCCAGAAATCTTGGGAAGCTTGACCCTTGCTATCTTTATATTATCCTTTAATTTCCTTTATGCTTGAACAAATCAAAAGAAATGTTAAAGAAATTCAATTAATTAAGAAAAAAAAAAAGCACAAGAATCTTGTGGAATATTCCAAAATGTTTAAGTCAATGTTAGAATGGAAAACAAAACATGGGAGTTGTGTCAACATTATCTTAGAAATCTGGTCGGCTAGCCCAAAAGTGAACATTATCCTAAAAGTAAACATTTTGCATTATCTTAATGCAATTGTAGGCCATGTTTGGAGTAACTAACTTAACGAGAAATACGTTGATTGGACCGTTGATACAAACAAAGGCACACCCATTTCGCCACGTGGCACCTCACCGACCTCGAAATATGGTTCTGACACATGGCCACCATGAAATCCCACACCATCGACGCGCAAAAGATATTCTGGCCCCTGCTTGACGCTTTGCCACTATTAAAAAAAAATACAATATCAATGACCGACGCCTCTAAGGTTGCCATATGGCTGGTCATGGATTACGTGGCGATATTAGAGTGGACCCTGCACTAACCTAGTCCACCAACCCTCTTCCGACGTTGAACCACAGATCCCTCAAGAATGCGCCACGTATGGTTGAAAATCCACGTGGATAATGGATTAAATTCTTGGTAGGGCCTTGGGTCGGTGGATCTGCTCCCCCTCCTTCTCTCTCTCTCTCCGTGGTGCTGGTGTTGGGGTTGGGGGAGTAGTTAACCTGTAAATATATATTATAATTTTAATTAACCGTCTTTTGTCTTTTACCCACCTTAATTAGCGCCAAGTTTAGATCTTTGACTAAGGTATTATTTATAGCATTACCAATCAAATATACACTATACCGAATAAGTGTAACTAAAACTCGAATTTATAGTAATAATGTTACTATGAAGGGTTGATTATTAGATACATAATAGTGGTACATATATTTTCTATTTATGATGATGATTTTTCTACGTTCAAAATATAGAATGTGTAACTAAAATGGTAGCGGATTTCGTTGATTGATATTGTACCATATATATATGTATGTAGTCTTGTATGGTAAAAGAATCGTCCTTATTTAGTGGAACAAAATCTGGGCTTTGATATGTGCGATGATGACGTCTAAAAGCGTAGCATTAAAGCCGTAATTAATCAAAGAATTGATGATATTAAGGGGGGAGTTTCCTTCTTTCAAGGGTGAAAAAGACAAATTAAGGGTATTATTTTATATTTTTGTAATTTTAATTCTATTCTATTTAATTTCGATAATTAATAGATAAGGGCAGCTGCTGTTTCCTACCGCTTTCTTGCACCGTCCAATTCCACGAAACTGTCACTATTCGTTAACATTAAAATATTTCTCAATCCAAGAGCTTAACACTGTGTCTGGTCAATCAAATCGAGACTCATTTACCATCCCGATTTCTATATAAACGCCCCCTTCCCGCCTCCATTGAACCTCACTCAAGGCAAACAAGTTTCTCTTACAACACAAGTTCCAGTTTTTCCTTCCGACAAATACTCTTTTTTAGCACCTTAAAGCACAAGCACTCTCGTACCCTTTTTTTCTCTATTTCATCACAACATGGCACCTAATATCACCGATACCAAAGCTGCTGCTGTCGCCGCCTCCACCAGGGCCACGGCTCTCGCCAAGGCTGCAAGCCTTCCCAGAAGGGCTTACGTTACGTTCCTGGCAGGGAACGGGGACTACGTGAAGGGCGTGGTGGGGTTAGCCAAGGGGCTGAGGAAGGTTAAGAGCAAGTACCCACTTGTGGTGGCGATCTTGCCCGACGTGCCCGAAGATCACAGGAAGATTCTGGTGGATCAGGGGTGCATAGTCAAGGAGATTGAGCCTGTGTACCCTCCTGAGAACCAGACCCAGTTCGCCATGGCCTACTACGTTATCAACTATTCCAAGCTTCGTATCTGGGAGGTATGTTTCTTGCATGCGTTACACTTAACTTTCTGTCAGGTTTTGTCCTTGTTTCGGATATGTGGACAAGATATGGGGGTTGTGCCACGTGTTAAGACGAGATATAGGGTTGGTTTGTAGTTTCAGTTAAAGATTGTTTGGCGGGGTTCAAAACGTTTTGGATTTTCCTAGCTAGAACATGACAAATCTTTCCTTGTTTTCATAAGATGTTTCAGTTTTCCAAACTATATAGTAATGAAAAAAAAAAGGATTTTCAGTTGATTCTACATGCCCAGTTAAAGAGTTTTTTCCGGTCCTTATATTTTGGTATAAATCAAAATTTTAAGCAAAGATGTGATTAAGATTAAACACGATATGCTATATAAATTTTTGTAGGATCAAGGTTTGTTCCTCCTGCAAATTGGGTATTTTTCTTACTTATATCCTTCAAAATTTTGCAGTTCGTGGAGTATTCCAAGATGATATACTTGGACGGAGATATCCAAGTGTTTGAGAACATAGACCACTTGTTTGAAATGGAAGATGGTTACTTTTATGCTGTGATGGATTGCTTCTGTGAGAAAACCTGGAGCCACACCCCGCAGTACAAGATTGGCTACTGCCAACAGTGCCCTGACAAGGTCCAGTGGCCTTCTCAGCTGGGTCCTAGACCTCCTCTCTACTTCAACGCCGGAATGTTTGTGTATGAACCCAGCCTTCCTGTCTATGATGTGCTCTTGAGAACTCTCAAAGTTACCCCTCCTACCCCTTTTGCTGAGCAGGTAAGAATTATTTTCCGCACTGGATTTTTTGTCATTTGATACTAAATTTCCTGTTCTCAAATCCTGAATTCTTATATATCTCGTGTTATATTTTCTGCAGGACTTTCTGAACATGTTCTTTAGGGACATTTACAAGCCCATCCCTCCAGTTTACAACCTGGTCATGGCCATGCTGTGGCGTCACCCAGAGAATATTGAGCTAGAAAAAGCGAAGGTTGCTCACTACTGTGCTGCTGGCTCCAAGCCATGGAGGTTTACTGGCAAAGAAGAAAACATGGACAGGGAAGACATCAAGATGCTGGTGTCTCAATGGTGGGACATTTACAATGATGAGTCACTTGACTACAAAAATTTCGTGGCTTCTGGTGAAGCAGAAGTTGACGGGGATGAGGAAACAGGCCTGCAACCATTTTTGGCAGCTTTGTCAGAGGCTGGTGTTGTTGATCACTACATTAACGCCCCATCCGCTGCTTAGAAGTTTGTGGCCTCCGGTGGTGGCGATATAACTTACTATTAACTAAGGTTGTGTAGGGGTGTAAATGTGTTGTTAAAAAGGCTTTTCTTTAATGGTTGTTTTCCTGTCCTTCCTTTTTTACACGGGACAGATTTTATTAGGTACCTGAGGAATATTATCCTCGTGGCCTTTTCTTCCATTGTTTCTAGTGGTGTTTCGTAAGACGCATTGAATTTAATATTAAAGGAATATTTCTCTACTTTCTGTGAGGGCCATATTTTCCAATTTTATTGTGCAATATTCAAAGAATTTGATTAATCAGAAAATGGAAGAAATCTCAAGTATGGGAATCCTGATATATATCAATCAGATGTAATTTTTGCAGCAGACAATACCGAAGTCTAACAATCCGGAAATGCTGAGCTAGCTTTCTGGTTTACCATTCCAGTGGGAGGGCCATATCCTATGTAGGATTCAATCAATCTCCTATGTAGGATCCAACCATGGATTGAACCTCAAAGATAACGAGAGAAAACCTGGAAACAGTCGTCAATAAAAGAGAAACCTTTGATTTAATCTATTGACACCTGATATTGGCTCTGTAACAGATTTTCCTTTTATATCAGTGCCGACTGTTCTAAATTAACTTAGTTTCTTGATTGGTTTTAGTCAGCTGACAACCTTTGTCTTCCCATTCTCAATGCCAGGATGCCCATGGCATTAAATTTTTTTCAGACCACGGCCTATTTGATGCATCTGTTTGATTTTTCTACATTTCACAAACAAGGAAAAAGAAAAACTTTGCTTGTGGCCAACTTTCTTGTGGAAAAAATGAAGTCATCAAAGTCTTGGACGTTGATATAGTCAAGGTTTCTGCCTGCAAAATGTGGAGCAGAGTTGCAGTAATAAATTAGGCCAAATAAGTCAGAATCACTGTTCCATATGACTTTTGAGACAGTTATTAGATGTTTTCATTCTACTGGTACTAGAAAAGTGAGCCTGAGATTGAATCTGAAGCTCTGAAGGAAAGAAATGGAAGAAGCCGAATCCAAGTAAACAAAACAATTTTATCTGAATGCCCCTTTTGTTAAATGTGGAGAAACTTGCTTCCAGCTGGAGCACACATGCCATTTTCTTTTTTTACTCTGTAAATGCTTCTCTCAAAAGCTTTTGGTTTGCAACTTGCATTTATAGTATGGACAAGCTTCTCATCGTGTCCGTTGTCAATTACTTTTTAGCATTTGTTTCTTGGTGCATTAGTATCTAAACGTGTGAATTCGAATGATTATTTTATTGAGAATCTATAGTAACCAAATAAAATTCTAACCTTCCAAATTTGAGCAGATTCATCCTTTTCCACATGATCTGTGCTTTTATATAAGGTCTCACAAGGTGCAGGCCTTCAGCAAGTTTGTGTCAAATTTCATATAATGGGGTCTGTAGGAATTGCAGTAATTTCTGTTGCTCTCCTGGCTCTCAACTTGATATCTTCCTCTTCAGGGGTCCAGCAAGAGACTCTGATGACCATATGCTTCCCAACAGAAAACCAAGAATTCTGTGAAAATCTTTTGATGAGTGATCCCCGGATCAGCTCTGCTGATCTTCCTCTACTCTCGGTAATCTCAATTCAACTAACAGAGAAGCAGGCTAAGGAGAATCATCTCAGTTTCATGCAGCTCCATGACAATGCCACTGATCCCTCGATGAAGGATCCATTAAACAAATGTGTGGGAATTTATGAGGAGATGATAAGCAAAGTTGAAGAGGCATACCAGTTGTCTATGGCAAAACGGTACAAGGATATTAGCCAACTGGCTGAGGCTACAAAGCTTGCTTACCAGTGTGAGAACGGGATTCCATTAAAAAATAATGCAAGCATGGAGATTAGCGAGACAATGATCTTGACCAGTGAGACCTCCGACTATGTCAACATCTATATTGCCCGCCAATGACCATGTGATTCGCTGGTATCTCCTTCCCTTCCTTGAGGAAGTTTGAGGTTTTCTGGGGAAATTCGGATGGGGTGGATGAAAAAAAAAATTGCTGTAACAATGTAACAGAAATTTAGCCTTGATGTAATCTTCTCTTGCTGGTAATTTATTAAATATAATTTTAAGGCATCCATCTTTCATAAAACAACAGAAATTAAGTTGTGCAATTGCATCAGAATCAACTACGCAGTTATGAAATATGAGGATTGGTGTATAATTGATAAAGCGTCTTGCATTCTATGGATTATGGGAATTCCTTTACAGGTTTGGGTTTCGGATTTGGTAGATCACTGTCCACCAGGATAAGATAAGAAACAAAGACACCATATGCACCAAGGCTTGAATCCTTCCCCATGTTTATTGAAATAGCTGAAGAACTGTTGCTTAATGCCTTGGCAATATACCATACAAGCAGAACCAGAAGACAATGAATCTCAGTCTGCGGAAATAACTATGGACTAAGGTTCATGGACCTTTAGTGATGACCCAAAGCTGTTTCATTCCTTTCGTTTTTGACTAGTTTTGAAAAGTAGTGTTACCTTTTGAATTTGGAAACAATAAAGATTTCCTTGATTGTTGGAAATTTAAATTTGAAAGGAAAACAGGGTTGTGGCCTGAGATTTTGACTTCGTGATAATGGAAAAAGTTTCATCCTTATTAGGAAAACTGTTGCCAAAAAATCAGCGTTCCTGATTCTCCAAATCTGATGCTACTGGCAAATTAGAGCTTTTTAAGTATTCTTCAAGCTCTCTCTCGGCCATCTCTATCCGAAAACAAAACCAAAAATGGCCTCTGGTAACCATCTTCTCTCTGCAGCTTTGCTCCTGTTGGTAGCATCCTTTTTCATCTGTCATGCCTATGGGGTCACTGAAGATGTCCTGGCCTCCATTTGCTCCAACACCCAGAACCAGGAAATCTGCGTGGAAATATTAGAAAGTGATCCACGCACGAAATCAGCAGACCTGCCTCTACTCTCAGCAATATCTTTAGAGCTAGCAATGAAACGAGCTAGTAAAACTTTCGATACTTTCTTGCAGTTTCGTGATAATTCTACTGACCCTGGCTTGAAAAGTTCTTACGGAAAATGTGTGGAACTTTACCAGGACATGAAAGACAAGCTCCAAGCTGATCAGGAGTTGTCACGCAAGAAGCAGTTCAAGAAGATCACTGATCTGGGTGGATTGACAACACTGGCTTACAATTGTGAGAACGGGCTCCCTTCAGACTCACCAACTGGTGCCATTACAGTCGATATGCTTCTCACCATCCAGAGTGCAACTTATGTCAATCGATTTGTTTCTCGATCAGCTTAGCGCAGGTTCATTTTGGCCTTTATGAATTTGTTTAGACACAATAGGAGTGTGAATAATTTTCCACTTTGCTTCTCCCATCAGAAACAACTTGTACCGGCTAAGATCTCTTGCTGTTTTATCTAGCTTCTTTGCAATAACAATGTACTATTATTAAAATCAAGCAGTTTGCTTCTGAAGGGGTTTCAACGGTGGATGCCATCTGCATGGTTGAATTTGGTTTGCTGATGTTCTATGAACAAGGGGGTTCCTGTTCCATGTATTGTTATTATTATTACTTTTCAATTTTCAGCCCAAAAAATCAAGCAAGTCCAAAGTGATAATAAATCTACTTTACAATTTAGCTGCAATGAGAATCTTGTGATAATCATTGTTCTCAAAATGATTATATTCAAACAAAGTCCAACTCACTTCATTCTTGGACCCATCAATTGGCAAACTATTTTTAAGTTTTCCATACAAATTCCTCAAACAGATGGAGAGAATGTTATTACTAATAAAAGGTGTATCTTTATGGTAATTGATGCCTTTTATGGTAAGGAAATAATGCCAGACTGTATTGCATTCCCTTTCACAGCAGGCCAGATTATCTCTTTAACTAACAATAAATGACATTCACTTTATTCGCTGTTGCCATTATTACTGCTTTACACTGACTCAATATATAAACAGTCTCTTCTGCAACTCCTTCATCATCACTTAGAGGGCACATGCTGATTGCTGAAGTACCTTTAATGGCTTCTTATGCCTCAAAACTTCTTGCTTTAACCTTGTTGGTAGCTTTTTCTGTTATCCATCCCTCTTCAAGTGTTCCAAATGAGACTCTGGTAGCCATTTGCTCTAAAACTCACAACCCGATAATGTGTGAGAGTATTCTCAGAGGAGATGCGCGAACTAGTTCTGCCGACCTCCCTACGCTGTCACTGGTATCTATCAACCTGACAATTGAACAAGCTGCAAGCAACAGCAAAGTTTTTGTAGAATTCCATGACAACGCCACTGACCCAACATTGAAGAAGGGTTTCAACACTTGTGTGGAACTCTATCAGTTGATGGAAGACAATCTTGACAAAGCTTACCATCGTTCGGAGAGGGGAGACTACAGAAACATCACTGAATTGTTCCAATCGACAAAACAAGCTGTAGGGTGTGCATCCGCGGTCCCAATAAACTTAGCAGCCATTGATGCTCTTACCAGGGCTGTGATCTCAAAATGTGAGACTTCAATAAGTGTGAACCAATATATTGCTAGATCAAAAGCTTAGAAAATTTACGTCAATAAAGAAAATAATAATGCTGTGACATTTTGTCATCTTAGATTCCTATCCTGAGAAAAGGATTTAGTTCCATAGATTGCTCAAAGAACAACCAGACATCCAACCAAAAGATTTCCATTTGGAAAATATATTCAGGGAGAAATTAAGTTGTTAATGATTTGCTTATAAGTGTTTTTGTTCGTTTCATGAAGATAGAAGCACAAGGAATTGAATCGTATTCTGAATCAGCTGGAAACAAGTCTCCTAACAATATGTGCTTCCAATTGCCAAAGGATGCAGTGTAGGGATGCAAGCCATACATTAGCTCTGTAACAGATCTACTTTCTGAATTCAGTTTCAACAGTTCTAAATGAACCTAGTTTCTTGATTAGTTTTAGTCAGCCGATAAACTTGTCCTCACATTCTCAATACCAGGGTGCCATAGCAAACCATGGTCATTTATTTATTGGAAACCATGGCCAGAGTTAGACTCTAGCTGGGTGATAAAGGCGTTTGTCCTCATGGAAACAGCTGCGGCAATATTTGGGATAAGTTTCAATAAAACTTTGAATGCCTTATAATTGTTACAAAACATAAAATTGAATCCGACGACCTCGAGGAAAGTTTGTGACAATGATGTTTCAAGGTTAACGACTCTTGAAACTTGGATATTTAATAAATTTTCACGTGTGAAGCAAATGATGTTTCAGGTACAATTAAGGCTTTATTTCCTAATAGAGTAAAAGAAAGTTACCTGATCCAAACATAAACAAGAATAAACCAATGATCATTGTTTGAGATGTGCGGAGAACAAATAAAAATCATGATATGTAACAATGACCTGATAACAATGAATATGTTAACTCTGTGGACAAAGATTATTTGAAAGCAATCTACAAAAGCAAAATGCCCATTTCTAGTACAGTAAAAATCCTAACCACAATCTGATACATTCTTGCAAGTTTACAAGGCAAGAAAAACCAAAACCCATCAACACAAAATAGCATATAAAATATTCCAATTCGACTTCATTGCTGCTCCAAGATGTCACCCATACTTGACCATCCCTCAAGCCTAAAAAAAATTTGAAAAAAAGCAAGATATTAGAACAAACAGATCATCAGCATATCTAGTATAGATCCACATGTCAGTCTGAACCTACCTTGTTAGCTATGTTGTTGGAGAGCCAGTCCAGTCCCTCGTACAACCCTTCACCAGATGTGGCACATGTACTTTGGATATACCTGTGTGAAGCAGAATGACCAAATCACATCAGCACATACTTTGTAGATACAAAATGCAAAAGTGATCTAATATTTTGTAGATACAAAATTACAAACAACAGGGAGACAGTTATATTTGACTACCAGTGGCGCTGACGGAGGGAGTGAAGACCAAGCTTATCAGTTATCTCAGCAGCATTCATAGCATTTGGCAGATCTTGCTTGTTTGCAAATACAAGCAGTACAGCATCCCTCAGCTCATCCTACACATGTAAGAAGCAACATAATTATTGAAAAACAAATTACAAAGCAAATTTGACCATTGCCCTCAAATTTCCTCCCCTCTCTGCTCTGATTACTCAAAATTTTGAAACACTAAGAAAAATTTGACCAACGAAGAAAAGAGAAACAGAAAATTTAAGGTTGGCACCAAATGTAATAGAAGGTAAAAGAAGGTGGAAAAAAGTTATAACATATTCCCTTTTCAAACTGCTGACAGGTGCTAAAAATCATCTAGCTAAAAACCGTAAAGCAATTTTGTACCTCATTCAGCATACGATGAAGTTCATCCCTGGCCTCAACCACACGGTCACGATCATTACTATCAACAACAAAGATCAGCCCTTGTGTATTTTGGAAGTAGTGTCTCCACAAAGGTCGAATCTGAAAGTGCCCATATAAGCTATCAGAACATGACATACTATCAAATTTCAGATATTTCACCCTTAATTTGAATAAAGGTAAAAGCAAGTACTACAAAAAGCAACCAGCAATTCTTACAAAACATCACCATCACTTAATTACAAAGAGGACACAATGATGGTTGCACTTGGCTGGGCATTGCATCGCAATTGGCAAAGTTCAACTTATCACCACTGCATATCAGGTAATTCGAAAGAAAGCAATTTCCTAAAACACTGTAGCATGCGCAGAAGGTGAAAATGAATACAGATAATCAATATGGATACAAACAAATACATGTATGCCACAATGCAGACAGCCTTCCTCCAATAGCCAGAGGAAAAACTTAAAAGACAAGGTAGCACTGGTCAATATAGCTTATGATTATGTTATGTGCTAATGGAGAACATCTAGTTAGCACAAGACCGTCAATAAGCACTCAAATTCATCACCAGCAACTATAATGCACTGAGTAAACCTAAAACCATTAATATCTGAATAAAGATAGGACTTAAAGCTAACAGTTAGCCTACCACATATATTGATTAAAAGGAAAAACCCTAGAATCAATACAAATACATGTATGCCACAATGCAGATAGCCTTCCTCCAATAGCCAAAGGAAGAACTTGAAAGACAAGGCAGCACTCGTAAATATAGCTTATGATTATGTTATGTGCTAATCGAGAGCATCTAGTTAGCACAAGACCATCAATAAGCACTCAAATTTATCACCAGCAACTACAATGCACTAGGTAAACCTAAAACCATTAATATTTGAATAAAAATAAGACTTAAGCAAAACAGTTAACCTACCACATATATTGATTAAAAGGAGAAAGCCTAGAATCACATGTAACATTATTCATGAAAAAAAAGAATTAAGAGCATTCTATTAATATACTCAATAAACGGAGTTAGCTTGAGGTTGTGTAACGTGCTGATATAGGAGTATCCAATCATAACAAGACCATCAACAAGCACAAAAATGACCACTAAACAGAACTAGACAAACATAAAAAAGTACATAAATAAGCATATGAAGTTTGCCACAGAATGAATAGACTTCCTCACTTAGTTAAGAGGAAAACTTAAACATATGGTGGCAGCAGTACATATAGCTTATGAATTTGTTATGTGCTGACAGATGACAATATAATCAGCACAGGACCGTCCATAAGCACACTTCATAGCAAGGAAAATATAATAAAGCATGAGAACAATTTATGTTGTCAGCCACAACTGGGATAGTCTCTCCTCAAACAAGCAAAGGAAAAACTTGAAAGACAAGGTGGCTTTAGTAGATGTAGCTTATGATTATGTTCGATGCTAATGTTGGAATATGTCATCAGCATTAGCATTAAAACCGTTCATAAGTGCATCCATCAGTTGTAACGGCCACTGAGATTGTGTAGAATTGAATAACATAAAGAACCATCATGTTTCCATCAAGCAGTAAAATCCAGGAAAACAATGTAATGGTAAAAATCTGACTCTATTTATGGTTTGTTTTACAACATTTTCAAGTTCCCACTGTATTACCTTGTCCTGACCACCAACATCCCAGACAGTGAAGCTAATGTTCTTATATTCCACGGTCTCCACATTAAACCCTGGGTGAGGTAGCAATAAGCATCACTATTGATGATAAAATGATAAATATATGCATCAGTAAAATAAAAACTTGCAGAAAATTTTATAAAGTGACATACCAATAGTGGGAATGGTGGTGACAATCTCTCCGAGCTTGAGCTTGTATAAGATGGTAGTCTTACCAGCAGCATCAAGACCCACCATAAGAATTCGCATCTCTTTCTTGGCAAACAGCCGACTGAACAACTTAGCAAAAGACAGCCCCATCCTTTTTTTTTCTTAGCTGAGACAAAAAACCAAGACGCAGTCAATCCAACTTTATTCATCCAATTAATACTATAGGAAAAGGAACAAAACCATTTAACATACATACAATCACAAATATAATAACATAAGACACCCCCCATTTTTCATCTTAGATAGATGCATGACATTGCCATGAATCAAACAAATGAAACACATTAGGAACCAGTTCTTTTAAGAAAAGCTTGTAAAGCAATCCGAACAACCAGATCTAAATCAGGTAGAATATCATACCATATCATATCAAATTGAATGAAATGAGCAGATCAATGATAGCAAAATAAGCCTAATCAAACACAAAAAGAAGATATGGCGGAAAGAATGTACTCCATACCAAATCAATAGCTTCAATACGAAATCTAATACTAGTAGTATATTTCATAGAAAACAAGATCCAAGTGGAAATATAAGCAGATCTAAGAAAACCCAGATCCAGATCTAGATCTGGGATCTAAATATGAAATACCCATCAGCCCAAATCAACCCCCAAAGACTTTTTACGCATACACACAAATCTAAACAAAAACAAAAGAAATTGAAAGAACAGAAACCAGAGATGAGAAAGTAACATGAAGATGCCGAA